CTCGTCACCGGTCCGGAGTAGCGACAACCAATGTCCTCTGCCGGGGAGACCGAGAGAGCTCACTGCTCAGAGAGGAGGGACGGAGAGTTGGAACGGGCAGATGCTGAGCATGGCTGCGGTGCGAGATTGATGCGAACAAAAAAATTGTCGCGTCCGCCCTTGGGTGGCCTGTCAGTGTGCGGTGTATCGACGTATGGTAGGAGAGTGCCGTGGGACTGTCAACTGTGGGAGAGAGGACGAAGAGTGAACTGGTGCGGTGTGGCCGTCAAAGACTCAACGGCGCATAGACAGGAGAGATGAGAGGAAAGACGTGAGGGTTTTGAATTTTGATGAAAAAAAAATCTTCAACATCTAGTAAGGCACGTGCCCCACTAGGCCCTACTGTAGGTCCGCCCATGGATGGACCATTCGAGTTTGTTATGTGTCCACAATGAATTCTCCCTTTTTTTCTTTTTTTACGAAAATTAAAGTTCTATTAGCACAAGTAGCCTCTAGGCCACGTGGTAACAATCTAGTCTTGGAAGCTCAATTGCATGAGGCCTATCGAAAGAGAATCTAATACTTTTCAATTGTGAATATTTGAACTGGTTGTTCGGTGTTTGAGAATTCTTGTTGGGTAATTCATATCATCCATACATAGTGTTTTGATATGAGATTTCAATTCTTTTGTAGGACATTTCACCGTGTTGCAATCTTGCAAACATTGATATTGTTGGAATAAACGATCGTCCATGTGGGTTGACCCGACCCGAATTGAATGGAAATGGGTTTTGGTGGGAAAAGTTAGAAATTGAATTTGAAAATCAACCTCCAACAACATACAACTTCCATATACATCCTCAACTATACCCATATCATATGAAGAATAAATGCAGAATTCATCTACGAAGAAAAGGATGAAAAACACATATGGGTTACGACTTGATTTGAAAGTATAACATCTTAAATTTGGTTCTTTGATTGTGGCTATCATCCCTTGTGATCAAGTTTCTGACCAAAAAATGAGTAAAAAGCCGTATAGAAAGTAAGCAAAACAAAGGCAAGTGATTCAACATCGTTTTTGTGATTTCAAGTTTTACTACTGGAATTCGTTTATAAGAATGCAAATATGTTGTGTGTTGTGACAAGCACCCAAAAGTAATACCTTAACCTCTAAAACTAATGTAATAGTGGAAGTAAGGGTCGATCCACCAAGAGTATGTAATTTAATATTTTATGCTTCACACAATGATTGTGAGGGTTTTTGTANGCAAACCTATTGAATTAAATGGTCATGAGAATTCTGTTTAATGCCTCATTAGGAGATATTAATTGATTTTGTATTCCATCACGTTTGCCAGTGATAGTTAAAAGGAACTAATAAGCCCAGATTGAGCTCAAAATTAGACCCTGGACCTGGATGTGAACACATATGTCAAGAACCCAAAGTTATAATCTTCTACATTGCAAGAAGAGAAAGTCCAATAGTTGGAGTAAATAAATCATTTGGAAGTAAATTCTTCAAGTCCCAAAATGTTGCATCCATGAACTCAAATTCTAGTTGTTCAAGAGACTAGAGACCATAAATCTGCCTGCCATGCTTATGTGCAAAAACAAAATCAGAGGCCTGTATAGCAGAAAACTCCCTTATCCCTTTCTTTCTCAGTAAAAACAAGCAGGTCTCTGCAGTTCTAAACT